GTGGTGGTACGACGGTGCGTATACCCCGGAAATATGCACCGACGTGTTTCGGGATAATGATACCGATGCTCGCGGGGCTGCTAGTGAGATATTGTTGTTAAAATGGGTTATCCACGACGGGGCCAAGAGGGATCGGGATCCGTACATGGGCGATCTGGCCGTCGCGGCTTCGACAAGGTACCTCGCGCACGACATACACAAAGCAACTTGGAACGTCGTAGAAGATCTGGCGCGACATCAGAGAGGCGACAGTTGGATTCCACCAGCGGGCATGTAAGTTAGGTAGTTTGACTAATAGTGACAAGTGGAAGACGTTCTTAGCTGCTGGTATCATAGCCGTCGCTACACTCTTCCCCTTGTTCGACTACCCCCTATAGTAGGTAGTCTATAGCTGGGACCACGTCCTCTACACGGGGAATCCTTCCTACATCGAATCGTACCACCCGGCTCTCGTGAAGGTGCTAGATACGTATTACCCGTCTCACACCGACTGCGCCACCTCCCTTCTCGTGCGCCCGGACAGATACGGCGATTACGCATTCGTACTTCGCGACGGCTCTGCGGCTGGCTTACTATAGCGCACTATACGTGCGAGCTCCACACCGCGCCGCCGAGGTCGCTATCTTCCTCTCCTGGGCCCCCACGCCGCGCGCTGGCATGCCCGAGTCGCTGCCGTAGCCAGGGGCTCCCTGCGCGCGCTGTGGGGCCCCGGCCGCGGGGGCTTTCCTCGACCGCCGGTGCGCCGGGCCCAACGGCACCGCCAACACGCCCGGGGCAGCAACCAATCTCGCCGTCCTTTCCGGCATCGCGAATGGCTTGCGTACGGTTCACAAGAGCCAATTATTCCTTTATCGCGACAAACGAGAACCAAGTAATCCTCTATCTCCTGCTAATCAGACTCACGAATCCCGACGAACGAGAGCCAATCGTTCATTGCCTAATCGGGACCCCCTACTAACCTATTTTTTTTTTTCCCTCCCCCTATTTCCCAGGCCTTAGCGTATATTCACATCAACCACCAATAAACTACTCTTTCGTCCCATACATCTCGCGTGACAAGTCCTCCTACAGACCACCCCCCTTAATAAACCCTATCCCGTCCTACCCAAAGGCATAATAACCACCCATCTCACTCCGTTCGTACCTCAAAAGGCGGCCATCGTTCATAAAACGCAGCTAATCCTAGGCCCACCTGCGCTAACGATAGCATCTTCAACGCAGCCGGACTTTATCAGTATAGGGAGGAGGAAAGAAGCCTCACCACCTAAGTCCTTGCTACTCCATTTCCAGCCAGTGAGTGCGCCGCATCCTTCCTCCTCGCTTTTAAGCTTGTTGCCTCCATCGTAAGCCCAGCCTTTGATGCCGTACACCAAGAAGTGGTAAGCCACAACCACGTCCTCTATGATGCAGCCGGCTTCAGGTCGTGGAGGTGAGGGTGGGGGTGAGGGTGACGGTGAGGGTGAGGGTAGGGGTGAGGGTGACGGTGACTGTAGTGGCTTAGAAGCACTTGAATCTGATTTTAGAGGCGAACTAGACGATGGTTGGCACACGCAAGCGCTAAAGGCGTAATCCCCAAATCCAGTAGCGGAACAACGGTTAACTTCTCCTGAAGGGCAATTTAGATGACACTGCGAATCTTGCTGGCAAGATGACGTAGACATTGTTAATAATGTTGTTAACGGAGTCGAATATGGAGTCGAAGACGGGGTACAAATACAGGTGCCTGAGGCGTGATCTCCAAATCCATATACGGAACAATGGTTGATCTCGCCTTTTTGGCAGACAGAAGTGCACTGAGAGTCTTCGAGGCAGGAAGAAGCTATCGTGAAACCCGAAGTGCTAGATCGCAGTTGCGGTTGAGAAACTAGAGTCGTTAGGGATCTCATAATCGTACTAAATTCTGTATTCGTGGTTGATGTTGACGACGTAGCTAACACAGTTAAACTTGAAACTGCTCCGCCAGGTGATAGTGCTGGAGTTGTTCCTGGGGAAGCAGTGGAGATTATCGGAGGAGTTAGAGTGCATACTGGGGCCTCGTCCCAAAACTCGCCGGCTGGCCAGTTCCATTCGATCTTCCATCGCCAATAATTAGGGGGAGTATTGAACGGATCGGCTTTCCCACGTAGCCCGTTGTATAGCGTTTCGATCTCCCGATATTCTTCATATCAACAGCGGCCACCGAATCATGGTAGACACTGACGGCAAGTAACCTCATCTTTTGAGACAAAAGATTCGCATCGGTAAGAAAATTGAAATGTGACTCTATAAAAGCTTTATACTTTGGAGCGAATGACCATTTGTTGTCCAAGTAAGCTTGCTCGCAGGCTAAGTCTTGGTCGTTTTGAGGCCTAGGAAGTAGCTATAAGTTAGCAGCCGTATTTGGATTAGAAAAGTAGAGGTTACGAACCACGCGTTGTAGATCCTTATATTTGTTCGCTGTGTTGCTAGAAGAATCTCCATAAAGTTCATTAATCGTATCCCATGATCTATTTGCTTCCAGTACTTGAGTTTCATCCGCAGTTTGTTTTTCAATCCTGTCCGCCCAGGTTGATCATCCCAGGGATCAACTGAGGCACCCATCCGATCACTGCCTAAGATCCGGTCCAAATCGTTTTGCAAACGAGGTACGGTCATGACTAAGGACTGGGACGTGTTATCATGGTATACAAATTGGTAGAGGTGGGAGTAGCTTACTTTCACCCAGGTATTCGCATGTGCATACATCCCACACATATCTTGCAGGTTGTTCCAGCCTATTAAGGAATCGGCTATACGTGTTAGGTAGTTACGAGTACGCTTTCCTGCGCTGCCCCCATACATCAGATACAGGAAATCCTCGCAATTGAGTTTATCCACTGGTCCTGGTGTAGACAGAATAAAGGGGGCATTGGCGTCGATGAATGAGCCAGCGAACCTGTGTATCAAATTGTTCTCGTAAATGTGGTCCATTGGGGGTGTATTGCCCCGCGGCATACCCTTACTTCCGGTAAGTGTAGCTGTGGCGCTTGCGAGATCTGATAGGACTTGCGTGGCAGCAACATAAGTAAGGGAAAAGTAGCAGTTGCCATCCTCGGTTGTCTTTAACCATCGCGAAAACACATCTAAGCTGCCGGTCACAGAGCCACTGTTCTCGTATGCAAGCATCGCCTGGCCACCCACATAACTTGGAGTCGTGACAGCTACGGCTGTTCCTGGCACCTTCATGGAATCCGTTATGACGCAGAAGCCACTAGTCGGGCTAGACATACCAAGAGTATTCACTGGTGGCGCTTTCATCCTTGGTAGATTTGCTGCCTTGATGCCGAGCCAGTTGACCAGATATTGAGGAAAGTCCGCTTTTTCTTCGTCATCTGACCATTCACCGGGGTCTCCAAGGTCTGTTTCTCCGAGTTCTTGGTCCCACTCATCCATATCAGGGCAATCGACACGGCAATCTGGGGACACCTTCTCCCAGAGGCTCCTTGTAGTGTCCATGAGAGAAGGCGGTTGGGGGGTAGCCAATGCGCAGCCGGATATAAAAGTGGTAGTCGTGGTATCAGTAGCACTGCAAGAAGTTACAGTAAGGCATCCCGTTTTGAAACAATCAGTGAATGTTTGACTATTAGAAATCGAGGATACACTACACAGCACCTGACAGTCGCTGACTGTCCTGATGGCCGAACACGAAGAAGTTGAAGACGACCGCTCCTCCTCGGTCTGTGTGGGCGCTTGGGTATCCTCTGGCGGCGGCGGGGGGTCGGGCCCAGAGGTACCATGGTTATCAATGGGGACAGGCGGAGATTGGTAGGTATCAACGAAAAGGCTCTTGATACAAGGTAATGTGAAGTCGGGAAGGCGAAGCTGAGGAAACTTGAAGTCTACGCGAGGCCAAGGCGGCAAATTGAAAAGGATATTTCCAGAAACTATAGGTACTACTGCTAAGGACTAGCTGAGAGTTAAGAGACTCTGGACCATACACGTGGACAGAAAGAACTGTTTGCTAGTTACAATGACGGCAGTTTAAAACCACTCTGCGATGACGAATACCTACCACGAAGATGTAGGCTTGTACGTGGGATGTATGCCGAAAAAAACACCGAAAAGTTCCTCGTCATTGCTGCTATTTTGCGGTACCACATGTTAAACTTAGCGCCGGAAGGCCAATATCACATCGTCTGAAACCCATCTAACCTTCGAAATTCCCACTGACACCAAGGGCACTGTTGTTGTCAAAGTGCCACATAAACACACCACATAAATACAGAAGAGAGTGCCGAATGGTGACTGAGGGACATAGCACACGGAATTTACATTCGGAAGCTTTGTGAGATTGAAGAACACTCAAGTTTTTAGTATGTGGAAAAAATTACATAAATTCGGCATATGCTGGTAGCAGCCTGTGTATTATATGCCGGCAAAACAGCCAAATGAGTAAACCGAAGCTCTCCGCCCGTTCGTGAGGCACTGCATTATACGCCGGGAATAGAATTATCGCTGGCCAGTCCAATAGAACAGGCAATGACCAAGAGAAGTTGGACGAGATCGGAACTGCCACATGCAACGTCCTCGATAGGGCTGAGGGGGGTATACGAGGTTAAAGCAGCGGCCATTTAGCGCTGCTTTATTTCCTCGAGGGGATGGCGCATCTCGTGAAAGCCATCCACTACTTTATACAACGAGATATTGACATACCTTACTAGCTTACTTCGCAGCATGTACTACTATATTTTCGGTTTCGCCTTAAGAATTGAAAAGGTGAGAGTGAAATAATGTAATAATAGGGACAGAAAAGGAGTGAGGGAACGAGGAGACCACATGTGAAGTCGTGTAAAGGCATGGAAGGTAACGCCCAGGCCCTAGGGGGTTTAAGGGGGATGTGGACACGTGACAGCTTTAGAAGCTGGAATGGGTTGAGTCGCGGCCAGCAGCCATTGTCAGGTGATGTGGCTGGTTAGGTGTACCTGTGGGTCCGTGACTTTTTATATGAATGTTAAGAAAAAAAGAGAAAAGAATAGGAAGGATAGTCTCGGCCGGAATCGAACCGGCACCTCCGCTTACGGACGATATCCTAGTTGGGCTGCCATTACCCCACAAGACCACTTGTGATTGGATAATTATAAGACTTTTTTTTAAAAATATATAATACTTTATAGAATTAATTATATATTTTTAATAAAGATTTAAATTATAAATCTATTAAATCACTTTATATTATATTAATATAATATTATTTATAAATAAATAAGTTAATTTTTATAATTTTAATTATTAAAAATTATTTATATAATTATATAATTAATATTATTATTTAAATTATTATATATTATAAATAAGTTTAATATAAAATATATATTTATTATAATATACTATATAAACGAGTAAATAAAACAAGCTTATAAACGAAATTTTATAATTATTATATTTTTAATTATTAAAAATTATTTACGTCGCATTAAAATTAATTAATAATTATTATTATTTAAACCGTTTTATTTAGCTTTATACTTTAAAAACTAAATACCTTTTTTATATTAAATATTTAGTTTTTTAAAGCGTAATTTATATTATTTAACTAAAAATTAATATGTTTATTATTATCTTTAAAACGTGTAAAATTATAACTATATATTTATTTTTTATTTTTTATTTTTTATTTTTTTATATTAATTAATTTAATTTAATAACCGAAAATATTATTTAAATTTTAAATTAATTATGTTATTACTTATAAATAACGTTATTTAAATATTAATTTTTATTAATTATTAAATATTTTTAATATTTTTAATATTATATTATAATAATAATTTAAAAATATATTTACGTAATTAATTATTATATTAAATTTCCGAAAGTTTATATTTTATAAAAAAAATATAATTATTTCCTTTTTATTTTTATTATATTATTAAAATAATAAATATCTTATTACGCGACCACGACGCGAGACTGTTACGATCCAACTGGATCTACTTACCTTTCGCCCTTGCGCGTCCGGATTTGGGTTCTTCCTTCTTCTCTATCATCACGTGATGATAGAACGGCGCTCCGTTGTGCTCTGGGAGCAGGACAGAGCTCACATTGAATGATGGATCTGGACAACTATAAGAAGGATGGGATTTCTCTCGTTTCTAGTCATTCATTCTAGTTCCTTAGCTATCAATCTAAGACTACAGTCACTCTTTGATACTATAGTGAGAGTACCTTGAAACCTCTCTGACG